ATATATATATACATATTATATATGACATTGTTTCCTAGAGATTCTATAAAAAGAGGCATTAAGAGTCATGATAGATCACTCGAAGGAAACATTTACATAGCAAAGTTTCTTGAAGTGAAAATAGAATTTTGAAACTTGTCCTAGTCTGGTAGTGATACACACCATTCTCAAAGAGAAATCAGCAAAGGAATTCATGTTTGCCATCCAGGTAACCTTCTCTTTTAGCAAATGCTTGTTTTCAGAGAAAATTGTCAAGTCCACAGACCATAATTTCAAGATCATACCCATCTCTGAAGTGAGTGGAATTGCCCAAGATCCAGGAAATTATCTGCATTGGGAAGGGTTTCTAGGATTTCATACTTCATTCTGTAATCTGTGATGTGCAAGACTCAATCATAACCAGTGGATATTACAAATCAAGAGAGCAGGTGCTTGCCCAAGAATTCTACCAGACTTGGAAGGAATATCATGGATCGGGTCAAGCTTCCTGCCTCCTAAGAGCACACATTCAATGTGCTCTTGAACCTTGAAACAGAACCCGAAATCTAAGACACAAATGCCATATCTTTATCCTATCTGAGTGAAACTACCACTCTCCTTTCACAGAGACATAACTCTCTCTGTATTTCTCTCTCTTTTTCTTCCTTCATTACCTAATGTGTTTAGACTGAATGCATCAGAGGAAGCAATCAAGAAGCAAATGTGTCCTGTCAAGATAAGCCAAAATTTAGGAAAGCAAAGAAAGGACATCAGAATTTGTCAGGAAGTTTGATTATGCTTGGATGTTTTCAGGGTGTGGCTAGTAAGGCATGCAGACACCTATCTGTCCTGGATATATTTTATTTCTATTATGTTACAGGTTAGGATCCCAGGGATGGTACTGATTCTTTTTGCAGAGAGATAAGCAAAACATCTGATTTTTATGACTTGCAAACTCATTTCTAAAGCTGGAGATTTCATCAAATTAGAATCCATGGCTTAAGGAATTCAAGGAAATGATTTCTCTGATTTGAATCTCTTAACAGTTATGTTTAGATTCTTGATATCAAGTTTATTCATTTTCAGGTTTCCTTTATTCTGTGCCTCCTAGATTGGAATTCCCTTATCCAGCTAGCAAAAAGGGAACCAAATATTTCCATTCCATGTATGCTTCTTGATTTAAAAGATCACACTTGTGGGGCTGGAGAGATGACTCAGCAGTTAAGAGCATGGGTTACTCTTCCACAGGACCTGAGTTCAATTTTCAGCACCCACATGGCAGCTCACACCTGTCTGTAACTCCATTTCCAGGGGATTTGACACCCTCACACTAATCTCCATAAAGTAAAATTAAATAAATTATTTTAATAAAAAATCCCACTTGTGTGAAGGTTATTTTGTAATGACACTCAAGACCACCTCCTAGTTCATGTTTTCCATTCAATAGAGATTTTCTGAAGTTCAATCATAAAGATTCCCAGATTCTCTATCTTTTTCTCCTTTACAGTCTATCCATCAAATTACTAACTCTACCTTGCCTGGTCCTCTTCCCTAATGCTGAGTAACCAGTCAGAGACCAGTACCGAATGTCTGTTCCAGAGCACTGAGGATCAAGTTTAGTTCTTTACCTTGTCTGACTTGGATTGATTTGGATTCTGAAAATACCCGCTCTGAGCTTTCAATACTATTTTGTTTGCTTTGCAGTTACGGGTGACTCTAAGTGTTTGCTCAGGGAAGTTACTCAAAACTGGTATTGTACTCTATCTGTTCTAAGACAAACACCTTCCAGGACAGATGTAGAAATGAGTAGGATGTGGCTAAACTGTAGATTCTCATGCTCTGACCAATTATCCAGATTGAATTTGTATATAAAAATCGTTGCCATTTAGGAATCCCAAAAACTGAACTTCTGTAATTTGATTTGAATAAATACAACACAGTGTGATAGCAAGAGACATTTCATCCAGACTCAAACATCCACCACACAAGTCATGCCCCTTTAAATGAATCTGTGATCATTTGTGACATACACAAATTTATTTGTTGCTTTCCCTCTGGTTTCTATTATGACCCTAGCAGAGGAACACCCAGGAAGATGTTGGCTTTGGAACATTAAGTTCTGGATTCAGTAGACTATTAACATTTGAATGATCACCTGAAGGTTCCACACTCAACAGTGACAGAAGACAAATTCTAGGCCTGGCATAGGCAGAGGAGTTTGAGAAAGAGGAGGAGAAGGAGGAGGAATAAGAGAAGAAATCTAACAAAAACTCCTGAATATTAGATTTTCATGAAATCCAAATTTTGGAATGCCTATCTAAACATATTAAATGGTGGCCCATGTCTTTTTGATGACTATTTAATACATTTAGCCCCTTTTCTCATGGAAATCCTTTTTCAGGATGAAAAGTCATCCCATAAATGCCCTCAAATGTGATTCTTTTTGTTATCAGTACCTGTTGCACTATAGAGTACTGATACTTGTTTAACACATCTGTGCTCTAAAAAGAAGATCACAATTTATTCTTGCAATAGCTGGTTCAGGACCTCTGCTTAGGACCAGAGCAACAAGCCTGATGCACAATCCTGATCTTTTTCAAAGAGGAAGAGAATAGCTGTCCCAGCTTTCACATGGCAGTGGAAATAGTCTCATGGTAGGAAAGGGTTTGTCTGGATCAATGATGACATCAAGTCTCTGAGGACAATGATCAACTCATACCAATGGCAATCTGAATTTCAGATAGGAGATCCTCTCAAGAACAATGTTTCTAGAACCTGGCCAAAACTCTTCCCCTTTGAAGGATGACAGAAAACAGTGCAGACTGGATTTGGTCTCCTAAATTTGGACGAAATCACAATATTTTGGTGTGCCAAACCTGTCCTAATATTTGCTTCATTCCTTTCCCTTTGGAATATACTGTACTAAACCATAGTGTGTACATTCCTGTTAAGTTATTGACTCATACAAGCCTGAATGAAAAAAAAATATCAAAAGATGTGGAAGCAGTGAAAGAATCATTGAGCTTCTCCTGACACTGCCATGGGAATTTAACATTCCTACGTTGGAAAAAGACAAGAAAGGATTACAGGACTCAATTCCACCAGAACAGGACTGTGCCTCTCCTGCTCCTTTGTGCCATTTGGCCACAATGTGAGATAATTAACCATGTTATAAGAAGAATCCTTTTCTATATATTGTCACTGAATATACCTTTCTTTCTGGAAGCTGTATTATTATGGATGCTAATAAACATGTTACTGTGAGGCACTAGGTCCATCAGCTTTTTAAATTTTACCTGATCATTAACCACATCTTACCACCATAATTCCTTCTTCACAAAATTATTTTTTTTGAGCATCCATGTCTTAAATGCATTGTTTGTTTGAAGCATAAGGTTTGAAGTAAGGGCTTTAATTTCTTTACATTTATTTTGTAGTTTTTAGTAAGTTTAGATAATGCACACACATCATAAATCTCAAACAATTGCACATGTTTCTTCAAACAAGTATGGCACTGAGAATTATCAATCAGGAAAACAATCATCTGAGGATAGGAAGTGACAAGCAGGTACTCAGAGTGAGTAGATAAGAAGGCAGACACTCAAAATTTTAAAAGTGAAACATGGAAGAACCACCTGCACTGTGCTGTCATTATTTGAGTCACTACAAATGAAAAATGAAACTATATACATATGTGTGTGTGTGTGTGTGTGTGTGGGTGTGTGTGTATGTGTGATTGTTTCATACAGATAAATTAATATGAATGTTTAGGAGTCATATTAGATCACTTGAATGGATATCTTCTCCTTGCAAAGTGTATTGAAAGGTAAGTTGAATCTTGAACCTTGTCCTAATCTGGTAGTGATACACACCATTCTCAATGAGAAATCAACAAAGGAATTCATGTTTGCCATGCAGGCATCCTTCCCTTTTACAAAGTGACCATTTTCAGAGAGAACAATATACCTCACAGTCCTTAATTTCAAGGTCTTACCCATCTCCCAAATGAGTGGAATTGCCAAAGATCCAGCAAAATATCTTCATTTGGATGGGTTTCTAGATTTTCACACATCATTCCATAATCTGCTGCTGGACAAGTTTGAACAATTTCCCAGGTGATATTACACATCAATGGAGCTAAGTGATTGCTCAAGAATTCTATAAAACTTGGAATGAATATCTTAGCTATGGTCCATCTTCCTGCCTCCTAAGGCCCATATTCAGTGTGCTCTTGAACCCTGAGATATAACACGAAGTCTAAGATACAAATGCTATATCTTCTTCCTGCTGGAGAATAGCTACTGCTGTCCTTTGAAAGAGATATCTCTCTCTCTGTCTCTCTGTCTGTCTCTCTCTCCCTCTCTCTCTCCCTTCATTTCCTAATGGATTTAGACTGACTCATTAGAGGAAGGATAGGTGAGAAAATGTGTCCTCTCAAGAGAACCCAAAATTTAGGAGAGCAAAGAAATCACCTCACTGTTTGTCAGT